TGAATAAATGAGTGAGAAAGTGAGTGAGTAGGATACACATTGGGGACCCTAGCACCCTCAATGTCCACACTTTCCTTGCTCTTGATGTCTCCTAGCGGTGGAGCCTGGTATCACCAATCTCAAGGCTTTGGAGAAGAAATTTAGGCCTCAGTTCTGTTTGTCCACATACACAGCTCTCTAACTGGTTGGAGTGGACCGTACAAAAGGGGAGGAAAATGAGGGCAGCGTCCCTGGCCTGCGTCCTCTTAGTCAACCTAGAAAGGGTTAGGGGTTGACAGCAAGATAGGCATCCATCTTTTCCTTGGGGAGAAGCTGGGCAGCAAAACAGAGGCAGCAGGTGGTGGAGGGGACAGGACCTCAGGTAGAAATCAGAACAGAATCACAGATAGAATCACAGATAGAAGTAAGGAAGGTGATGGAAGGAAAGAGAAAGAAAAGGAAAAGGAAGCCAAAGGCAGAAAAGAAAAAGGAGAGGACGTTGAAGATAAAGGAAGAGAAAGAAGATGAAGAGACAGGACAGAAGGACAGAAGAAAAGGCAGTAGCAAGGTCACCTAAGCACATACCCAAAATATTGAGCTGCCTCTTTTACACTCTTGTGGGGGTAGGGAGATTTCTTTCACTTGTTGAGGAGCACTGGGGGGTGCTGGTGAGCTTCAGCATTCACCTTTCTGGGTGATCTCAGATAAGTTTCTGGGCCTCAGTTTCTTCATCTGTAAAACAGGCACAGCCATACCCACCTACTGCAGAGAAGTCATGGAGGGGATCCCATGAGACACGCTGTTATAAATTAGTATTTATTAGATCTATTCAAGTATCAGGCCCTGGAGAAACAAAAGCCTGACATTGCTTCTGTTCCTCAGGAGACTCAGTCTAAAAGGAGACACCCATCATCCCAAAATCAAGACCAAGAATGGTAAGCGCCATATGGACTAGAGTGGATTAAGTACTATAGAAGGTCAAATATTTCCTTTTTGGAGGAAGTTTAGGAAAGCTGCCAAGAGGAGGTGGCTTCAAAGCAGGCCTCTGCAGAATGAATAGAATTTGGGTTTGGATATGCAGAGAAGGAATGGGCATTCAATATATGAGCAAAATTAGGGAGAAGGAGAGTGGGAATCATCTGGCTGGATTTCAGCATGGGTTTAGGAAAAGACTGGATACATAGACTGGGGAAGGACTTCTCTCTTTCTCTCTTTTTCTTAAGTAAGCTCTACACACAAAGTGGTGCTTGAACTTATGACCCTGAGATTGGGAGTCACATGCTCTACTGACTGAGCCAGCCAGGTGCCCTAAGAAGGGCTCCTAAAGGTGTTAGGGATTCCCCAGACTGAATGGGCTAATCTAGAGATTTCTCAAAGCCTCTGTCATGACTCCCCCTGAAAAGCTTAGTAAGAACAAATGTTTTTGATTATAGCGCATCATTTCTGCCATCCCCCAGTTCAAAACCAACAGGGTCAATGGCTCTACCTCCAATAAGAACAGCACTGTGATACAAACTAAATACACATTGTCCCAGCCCTCCCAGCACACACCTGAAGGGTCACTGGAGGCCGGCTAGGCCAGAGCCCCATTACATAGATAGGGAAACTGTGACTCAGAGAAAAGAAACAATCTTCCCAAAGACATTTGTGCTTGGGTTCCCAATCACCTGACCCTTAGTTTGCCAGGTTCCCCTACCCCAACACCAACCACTCAGCTTATGGGTCTCTGCTACCTTGTTCTCCAATCACCGCAACCTCCCCCACTCTAGGGTTTCTCAAAACCTGTCCTGGGATCAGTTGCTCATGGTTGGCTCCAGTGGTGAAGGCAGCCAAACTCTTGCATAGCAGAAGGACAGTGTGTACATGCTTATGTTTGCTTGTCCCAGCCTGCCCATCCTGTCATTAAACATTTATTAGGGAATAATAGCTGGAAAATAACTGGGAAAACACCTTTGGTCGAAAAGACTAGGGCACCCAGTCCCTAAAGGGAGTGCCCTAAAGGGATACGCTTGTAAAGGCTAATCACAAATGTGAACCAAAAGCCAAGACCAAGCACATTGAGGCCCTTACTAAAGCAGGGAGGTTGGGTTGCTAAAATGTGTCTGGGGAGAATGCAGAAAAGTGAACGGATGTGGGGATGAGGGTACAGAAAAAGTCTGCATGAAGGGTCCAGATCATGGGGCCAATTGTAAGTTCGGGTCTGTTCCCTCTCCCACATGAGGGTCTTCCCCACCCCTCCAACAATGTGCTGTGTGTGCTGGAGCTGGGTTTGGTTGGTCTTCCAAGGACAATGCCATGGAGCAAAAAACTGGGATGTTCTGCGGGATGCTTGACAAAAGCTTAACAAACCAGTCAGGAGCCCCAAGGAGGAAGGCAGAGGCAGGCCCGCAGAGAGTGTCTCCTCCTTCCTGTCAATCACCAAGGACCATCTGACCTGTGTGCTCTACAAGTCCTGGTTCCTGACTTCAAAAATCTGAGTTGCAGAGGACTCCTGAGAAAGCTGTGTTTTGCATTCCAGTAAAAGACCTTGGATTCTTGTCTGGAGAAGTTAGCAAACATCAGGGTAGGTGCTATGGAAAGTACTTTCAGTTCCCAGATTGAGAAGCAGCTCAATGTTCTGAACTTCAGACCTGTATGTACATCTGCCTCCAAGACATCATCTAGATGTTCTAGAGCCATCTCAGATTCAACAGACCCTGAACTGAATTCATTATCTTCCCTTCCACCCCAACTCTTGGGTCTTCTGCGTCTTCATTTCAGCAAATGACAAAATTATCCATCCATTTACTCAAGCCAGAAACCCAGGAGTTACCCAGGACTCCCTCTTTTCTCCCAACTCCCATATCCAACTTCCATGTTGCCTAATCCAGCAGCAACTTCTGTGCCCTCTTCTTATCCTGCAGCTCAGTAGCATCCAATGACATCAGATGTCCACTCATTTTGCAACACTTCACTTTCCTCTCAGCCTCTATGAAAGCACACTCTCAATTTTCGTGTCATCTCACCTGCCTCTTCTCTTTTGCTCAACTACTAAACATTAATCTAATCTTAGTCTTAGTCTAGTCTTAGTCTTGTCTATCTAGATTCTTGTAGTAGTCATTCTTCTCCAAGTCCACAACTTTAAGTACTGTCTGATGACGGAAACTACCCATTGTGAATCTCTAGCTCTCATCTTTCCTCTAAACCTTCGTCTCATAAATCCACCTGCCAAATTGATATGTAGCTTCAATTAGCATTGTACTAAACCAAACTCCTGATGCCATGTGTGTTCAATCCTGAACCTCACTTTCCTCATCCCGTATGTGTCACCCTCATTCACCATGTTGCTCAACACTCAAAACTTGTAAACTAAAAAACAAACAAAAAAACAACTTGTAAGCCATACTCTATCCTTTCTCCCACACCTCTAATTCAAAATCAACAAAGCCTATAGATCTACCTCCAAAAATATCTCCCCACTATACCCACTTCTCTCCATCTTCATTCACCATCGGTCTGGCCCAGAGTCAACATCATCTTTCCCTTGGACAACTGCAGTAACTCCTTTCCTTGTTTCTACCCTGGCCCTCTTCCAATTCATTCTTAACACAGCAGCCAGAGGGCTCATAAACACAAAATATGATCATATAACTCCCCTGCCAAAGCCCTTCAAAGGGTTTCCATAATACTTAAAATGCAAAATAAAATATGAAATAAAATCCATGGTTGATCAATCTGATCTTGCCTCTTGTCACTTCCCTAATATCACATCCAACCACTCTCCCACTTGCTCACTACATTCCTGACACACTGGAATTCTTTTTGTCTTTAGAACATGCCAAGACTTTCCTGCTTTAAGCACTGGTGCTCCCTCTACCTAGATCTCTATACTCCTTGATTTTTGTTCAGATTAAATGTCGCTTTCTCAAAGCCAAGTAACAGAAAACCCAACTAAAAGTGGTTTGACCAATAGATTTATTTTCTTACATAACCAAAGTCTTAAATTAGGACCTTTCTGGATAATAAGCGTCCCAACGATGTTATCAAGGATCCAGGTCCTTTCTAACTTCCTATCAACCAATCCCAGTTTCTGGGCTAGCACTCCCCACAAAGATTCCGTCATGTACTAACATCTAAAGGTAGAAACATCCTGTGCTTTTTTAACAAAAGAACTCAGAATCTTTCCCAGAAGTCTCCAACAGACTTCCCAACTTCTCATTGTCAAGAACTAGGCCATATACTCATCCATAGACTGATCAGGCCAGGCAATGGGGCCACATGATTAATCAAGGAGAGGAGGGTGAACACCAGAATAAAATCACTCTTGTGCAAGAAGGTAGGAGGGGAAAAGGCAGTTGAGCTGGTAACCAACAATGCTTGATCTTCCCTATACCATGCAATCTAACGTTGCCCCCACTTTTTAGTGTTTAAATAATTTTTTTCCCATAGTATTTATTATCATCTGAGGCATTATAATGTAGGGGTTAGTAACACAGACTCTGAAACCAAATTACCTAGAATGGAAAATGGGCTACCGCCTTATTAGCTGTTGAGTTAAATTACTCAATCTCTCCGTTTCCTTACCTGTAAAATGAGGAAGACGACGATACTATCATCACTGTTGTAAGAATTAAATAGGTAAAATGCTTAGAATGGTCACCCTAGCTCCTAAACCCTGGAGACATTTTTGTATCCTTATAATAAATTTCCCTTTCTCGCTTGAACTCTCCATTTCTGGGGTTTCAGAGGGCCCCACTCTCTTCCCTGCTCCGTCAGTTCTCTTTGGCGCCATCTGGCGCCCACAAGAGAAGAGACGCGCCTGCGCCCTCTTCGCCCTGGGTCCATTGTCTCTTGGTGGCCGAATCTGGTCTCTATACCTTTAAGATGCTCGGCCAAGACCGAGGAACCCAAGGCCGTGGGCGTAAAGGGCGGGCTGCAGTCAAGTCCACTTAATTAATTGGCCTTTCCTGCGGCTCCGCCCCGGAAGCAGTCGTGAACCCCTGTGATTGGCCAGGAGCCCTGGAGGCGGGGTTCGAGCTTGGCGCGATGTTGTTCCGTGCGCATCCCGAGTGCTGCGTCGTGGGCGATATGTCTCGGGCGGATGGGGACGCGCGTGGGGGCACGGAGGGAGACGGCACTGCTGCTACCGGCCCCTTCAGCTTCAGTCCGGAGCCCACGCTCGAGGACATGTAAGCCGTCCCTACACAGCCTGGGGAGGTCGCCCCTTTTCTCCCGCCTATTGGGGAGGGTCTCTCCACGTGGTCTGGAAGAAGGCTAGAGGCTCTGCTGGGGTCCCGGCTCGGCCGGCTGATCTCTGGAGAGTCAGGTAACCTCCTTATCTGCAAATTGGACATAGTGATGCACACCAGAGGCAGGGGAAATGGTGACGCCCGGCGAGTAATATTAGAACCAGCCCTGGGGAAATTGGGCTGCTGCTTCCGATGCTGCTTCTGTCCGGCCTCTGCCCTCCAGGAGTGGGTGGTAGGAAGAGGGCAAATGTCAGTGCTGAAAGGTGGGTGATATTATTTTTGCTGGAGGAAGTCAAGGAGGGCTTCTCAGGGGAAGTGTCCCTGGAGCTGCACTTTGTAAAATTCGATATGCAGGGAGAGGAATATTCCAGGTGGAGGAAACTGCAGAAGCAGCAGTAGAAGGTGCAATAATGGAAGAGAGGGTATTGTTAGTTTTCGGTAGAGTTGAGGGCCTGCGCAGTGCACACCCTCTTTATCGATGAGAAGTCCAGGTCCCAAAGAGAAGAATGATTGCTTGAGGCCATCCAAGGAATTTGTTGCAGAACTCCTGATACTTATGCCCCCATTACATATCACTGAGATGCCCGCCTGGGCTCTGTGTCTTCTCTTGGGTTCTCGAACCCAAGACCAGGTCTTCCACTTCTTTCTTCTTTTCCAGCCGCCGCCTCCATGCTGAGTTTGCTGCTGAACGAGACTGGGGCCAGTTCCACCAGCCTCGGAACCTCCTACTGGCCTTGGTGGGGGAAGTGGGGGAGCTGGCAGAACTCTTGTGAGTAGATGAAGTCTTCTTGGAATAGTCTGTGTGTTATGTGGGAGGGGAACATTTATCTGATCATTAAATATCCATGCTGGGCTCTGTACCTGGGGATAGGGATGACTCATCTGCCCCTGCCCTCTTGGGGCATCCAGTCTTCTGGGAAAGAAAGGTGTGAAAACAGCAAGGCAGGTCCAGGTCATAAAGGATGGTGGCAGCCTCTGGGGTGGAAAGGAGGGTATTTTTTGGAAGACCTCCCAGTGCATGCCAGCCTTGAGAATCATTGGCAAAGGTGGTGAAGTGGGAAAGGGCAAGTTGAATTCAGGGAGATTCTGAAAGTCCTTCGGCGTAAGCTTTTCAAGGGAGGGCAAGGATATTGTATCTGTTTTGTTGCCTGCCATGTCCCACATGCCTGCAGTACCACAGTAGATATCTACAGAACGAGTGACGGGGCTGTGGAAGAGAGGGGAGCCAATACGAACTCAGAGGGACAGAGCTGAAGTTAGGAAGTGATGGAGTTTAGACAGAAGACCTGACCAGATTTGACAGGTAGAAAGATCCCTTTCTGCAGGGTGAATTGGGTCACCAAGAGAATTGGGGCAGGGGAAACCCATGAGGAGGCTGATACAGATCAGGCAAGAGGTGGTAAGGCAGGCCTAAACCAGGCATTCGCTTTGGGGATGGAGACATGAGAGCACAGAGATATGTGTGAGGGCAAGCCATTCATTCGTTACAGATGAATGAGCATCAGCGATGTGCTAGGGCTTCTAGAATGAAGCCCTGAACAAGATGGACATGGTTCCTGGGGCACCTGGCTGGCCCAGTCAGTGGAACATGCAACTCTTGATCCCAGGGTTGTGGGTGTAGAGATGACTTAAAAATAAAATCTTCGGGGGAAAAAAAAGGCATGGTTCTTGCCTTCACAGTACAAGGAGACTAACAATAAATAAACTAATTTTTTTTTTTTTTTTAAGATTTATTTATTAGAGAAAGCGAGCAGGGGGAGGGCAAGGGGGGCGGAGAGAATCTGTTTTTTACAAAGATTTTATTTATTTACCTGACAGACAGAGATCACAAGTAGGCAGAGAGGCAGCCAGAGGGGGGCGGGGAAGCAGATTTTCCGCTGAGCAGAGAGCCAGATGTGGGGCTTGATCCCAGGACCCTGGGATCATGACCCGAGCCAAAGGTAGAGGCTTTAACCCACTGAACCACCCAGGCGCCCCATAGGAGAGAGAATTTTAAGCAGGCTTCACAACCAATACAGAGCTTAACACAGGGCTTGATCTCCCAACCCTGAGATTGTGACCTGAGCTGAAATCAAGAGTCCACACTTAACTGACTAAGCCACCCAGGCACCGCTCAACTAATTTTAAAAGGTCAGGAATTGTGATAAATTCTATGAGGAAAATAACACAAGGTGATGAGAAAGAAAGTAACAGAAGGAGAAGGCTTTTCTGAGGAGGGGACATTTGTGCTGAGACCTGAAGAACGGGAAGGAACAGCCATGGGAAGGATCTGGGGGGAGCAGGGAGAAGAGCATTTAAAGCAGAGGGAGCAAAGGCCCTGTGACAGTTTGACCCGTTTGCCAGACAGAACAAGCCAAAGTGGTTTTCGGTGGGGAGAAGGGGGGAAGGGTGGATAATGACTTTGGAAGAGAGAGCTCATGTGGACCTGTACAGCATGGTCGGGAGTTTGGATTTTATTCTAAGTACGGTTGGGGGAATTATAGCAGCAGAGGGACAAATGTAATTTGTGGGTTTAAAAGGTGGTACTGGGCAAGAGTAGAAGGTGAGTTAGCCAGCTTTCACAGTGGTCCAGTTCTGGGGCTTAGTCTGGAGTCACAGTGGCTAGGGCTGGGGAGAAGTAGAATTGGGTCTTAACAAGTGAAATGTTCTCTTGGCCAGTCCTCGGCTCAGGTTGGGACACAGAGGTCTGGATGAATTACCTGCGGGGGTCTTCTTCCCACCCTGACTCTGCCTAGGGCCCAGGTGGGTTGAGTTGGAAGAACTTCCTAAGAGGTAGCAATGCATTGCTGCAAGGACTGGGGTGCTCCTAAGAGAGGCAGAGCCCATCATCTTAGCTAGCATCTGTGTTTGTGTCTATCTCTGTTTTCTGCCCCCAGTCAGTGGAAGCCCGATGAAGAGCCTGGCCCCCAAGCCTGGCCCCCCAGGGAACAGGCAGCCCTTCAGGAGGAGCTTAGTGATGTCCTCATCTACCTGGTAGCATTAGCAGCCCGCTGCCATGTGGATCTGCCCCGAGCGGTGCTCTCCAAGATGGACCTCAACCGCCGGCGCTACCCAGCACATCTGTCCCGTGGCTCTGCCCTCAAGTATACAGACTTGCCCCATGGGGCCACCTCTGAAGACCAAGCTGTGGGGCCTGCAGACCGTGACCGTGAGTCCACAGGCCAGGCCTCAACCTAGAAACATGGGCACAGGACTTTGCAACCCAGCATGGCATCTGAGAAGCAGAGTATGGCCTGGCCATGGAACTTTGTTCTAAGTCCTTTCCTAATGGATCAGGGGCCTTCGGACTTCCTAAGGCCTGTGGCCCGAAAACCTCCAGAAGACAGCCTCCTGTTATTTTTTTCGCTCTCATTAAAAGTTTTGGTTAGCAACTTCTAGATTCTTCTTGGAGTGACTGGGGAGACTCTATCTCAGCAGGTACTAGAGAGGGGCACCAGGGATGCCTCTGAGCCCAGCTGCCATGTTTCTCTTGGGTACCTCCCACCTACAGGGCAGAGAGATCAGATTTCCAGCAAGATCCTGGTGTGGTGCCATGCAATTCCCTTATCCCTTCTGGACCTCTACAGGAGATTGGAATCTATATGTAGTGTTGGATAAGGGTCCAGATTCTGGAGCCAGGCTGTCTGGGTTCAAATGCTGTACTTTGATACTTACGAGCTGGATGATGTTCATCAAATTACTTAATCTTTCTGCGCCTTGGTTTCCTCATCTAAAATGAAAATAATGGTATCTACCTTATAGGGTTGTAGGGTCTAAGTTATTTTTAAATGTAGCGCTGAGGACAGTGCGTGGCACATAGGAGGGACTTTCTAAGTTTGTGGTTCTCTGTTTGCTTTTTCAACTCAGAACTTTCAGGGGCCCTGAGCAGGAAATGTCAACAGTTAAGAGGGGCCTGGGCCTAAAACCCATCCTTGCCTATCAGGACCCCAACGCTGTGAGAGCCCAATGCCCCTCTCCCTGGGCCTCATCACAAATTGGGGTCAAGTGTCTGATGTGGAAAACAGAGATCTCTCTCATCTTGGAGAGGGCCTCTTGCCTCCTCCCCTGTCCTCTCAAGGCCAATTTCCACTTGGACAAAGATAGTGTGGGGCGTGTATGATTTACCCCTTGTGAGACTTCAGGCACATCACTTCCCTTTTGAGGATACCCATGGCCTCCCCTCCACTGTGGAGTGATGCTGGGGGAAAAAACCCTCAAACTACTTTTGCCACCCCTAGGAGTCTATTTCCACATCAGTAAAATGAGGCATTCCTCTTTACTGGTCTCATTGCTATTACTAACGACCTCACTCCTTTTTAACCAGTGACCTCTTACTTCCCAGGTAAAACACAGTCCGGATTAGAACTGCTTCAGCTTTGTATTCCCAAACCCACCTTTCCTCTCCCTACTGGTCTCTTATCGTATATACTTTCCATGAGTTATTTCCCCTCTCTTCTATATAACCCAACTTCTCGTCCTTTCTACCAGGTTGGCCAACAGCATATATGTAAAGCAGACTTGAGTTTCCTCCCTCTTGAAAAACAAACCCAACAAACCTCCAACCATTTCCCTCTTGCTTTTCACAGCCAAGCCTCTTAAAATGGGTTGTCTACACCCATCCACCGGGCTTCCTCATTCTCCTATTTATACTCTAGCCCACTCAAAGATGGCTTTCACCCCCTCCTCCTCCTCTCACCACTTTCCCTGAACTATAGATACAGCGTGTAACAGAACTGACCACTCCCTCAGTGAAACACTTGCCTCCAGATTTCCCAGACAGGACACTTCTGTTTTCTTTCTACCTCTGGCTGTTCTGTCAGACTCCTTGGGTACCCTCCTCCAGAGGCGGTATTGTGCACTCCAGACCCGATATCCCCAAGCCATTATTTCCAGTCACCTGACTCCCATGCATTTACCTCACACTCAGCGTGCCCAGATTGGGATTTAACAGTGGCCACCACTTCCAATCCTATCCTCTCTCTCCTAGACTTAAGTTCATTACTGCTCACCAAACAATGCAGCGGCTGTTTGACCAGAATGTGCTCCATTTGTGGAGCCTTCCAGACCTGAAGTTATGAGGGCGCCCCACACATAAAGTTGGGGAACCCCTTTGGGCCTATAGCCCCACTTAGCTCCATAAGTCACTTAAGCCTGGGTAAAACGCCAGCTTTCCTCCTCCCTCGCCCCCCACCTCACTCACAGGCACGGTGGGGCAAGGATATAATACTTTATTCACTAACAAGAGTCAAAGGGTTGTAGTGAGCGGGGAGTGGGCACTGTTTCCAGGGGTCCCAGTGAGGGGATTCTCCCTGCCTCCCAGTTGCCAGGCAGCCAGGCCTGCCATCCCACCCTTTCCCAGCCCCTGGGTGGTGAGCTGGGGACGTCCTGCTTAATGCAGCCCCAGGTAGGGGTCCCCGCATGTCCGCCCCCTTCCCCAAGCCGGATGCTCGCAGCCCTGCGGCGACAAGAACGGCGGCTCAGCTGCCCTCGCACTCTGGGCAGCGCTCGGTGGCCGTGGCGGCCGTGGCGCCAGGGGGAAGCTTGAAGTCCCGGCCGCAGCGAGCGCAGATATAGAGACGGCGCCGCATGTGCGCGCGACGGTGGCGGATGAAGTGCGAACTGAGACGGAAGCGCCGGCCGCACTCCGCGCACGGGTAGGGCCGCTCGCCCGTATGCGTGCGCGCATGCTCCGCCAGGTTGGAGCGGTGGCCGAAGCGGCGGCCGCACACGGCGCAGCGGTGCGGTTTCTCGCCCGTGTGCACGCGGCGGTGCTTGGCCAGCGCGGAACTCTGCGCGAAGCGCGTGCCGCAGTCGGCGCATGCGTACGGCCTCTCGCCCGTGTGCGTGCGTCGGTGGCGCGCCAGGCACGAGCTGCCGCCGAAGGCGCGTCCGCAGTCCGGGCACGCGTACGGCTTCTCGCCCGTGTGCACGCGCAGGTGCTGTGCGTAGTTGGAGCTCTGCGCGAAGCGGCGGCCGCAGTGCGCGCATGCGTACGGCTTCTCGCCCGTGTGGCGCCGCCGGTGCTGCCGCAGGTTCGAGGCAGCCGAAAAGCGCTTGTCGCACTCGGGGCACTCGTAGGGCCGCTCGCCCGTGTGCGTGCGGCCGTGTTTGGTCAGCGCGGACTTCTGCGAGAAGCGCCGGCCGCACTCTGTGCACGCGAAGGGCCGCTCGCCCGTGTGCGTGCGTGCGTGCTTGGCCAGCGTGGAACGGCGCGCGAAGGCGCGGCCGCAGTCCGGGCACGCGTGTGGGCGCGCCGGGTCGGCCGACGGCGCGGGCGCCTCGCTCGTCCGGACCTGCGGGGAGAAGGGGAGGGGGGACACGTCAGCCCCGACTGCCGGGCTCTGGGCGCGGGAACCGGAGGCCAGGGTGTCCGCGAGCTGCAGCCTCTCAGTTCCCGTTTGTAAAATAGAAAAAGCGGCGGCGCCCGCCTCGGGGCGGTTGTGCACTTTAAATGAGACAGTACGTTAACACACGTACACAAGGCCTAGTGTCATTCTAGCAATTCGTTACTAATCGACATATTTATTGACCGCGTACAATGTGCCGGGCTCTGTTTAGGCAATGGGGATTCAACATCAAATTTTAAAAATCTGCTTCAGGAAAAATGGACAGAGTGCTGGTATTGGGGCAGGGAGGAGGGTGCTGCACATTTAAATAGGATTGTTAAGAAACTTTACTGTACAGAGGGACCAGCAAGGCCCCGCGGGGAGTCTGCCTGTTGAGTTCCAGGAATGGATTGAAAAAGTGCCTAAGGCAGAATGTTTGAGGGGGAGAATGTGGAAGAGGTGGTCTTGGAGAGGATCTCTTAGCTTAGGGCCAAGTAATATGAATGAGATGGGGAGCCAATAGAGATGTCAGGTGGTTTGGAACAGGGATCTGAACACACCAAACTCATTTTAAAAGTCACCCTCAGGTTGCTGGAGTTGAGAACAGAAAACAGGGGAGAGGGCAGAAGCAGGAGCCCAGTGAGGAGGCTACCTGTACCGCAGCCATCTCTGAAGACAGTGGCTCAGACCGAGGTGACAGGTGGAAAGTGAAGGTAGGTGATCTGCTTTGGGATATATTTCGCAGTTTGAGACAACAGATTGGATAAGAGATTGGGTAGGTGGTGTAATGAAAGGAGTCAAAATGACTCCCAAGGTTTTTGAGTTTGGCCACTGCAAAGGTAAAATGGCCGTCCTCAGAGATGAGAGCAGTGGGAGAAGCAAGGTGGTAGATGAAATTTACTTCGGAGCATATCTGCAGTTCTGGACACATCTGGAGCTGAAAGAGGCCTGTGCTTAGGGATGTTAACTGAGAAGCTGTCAACCTATCAATGGTCTTTAAAGCTGAGTCTGGATGAGATCACCCCAGGAATGGGCAGAGAGAATCTCGGGGAGCAAGATGGGCAGCCAGCAGTCAGGCAGGAGAGCCAGGAGGGCATAGTGTCTTAGAAGTCAGGCTGGGACAGAGTCCAGGCTCTTTAATAAACTTTTCAGAACAAGCACCTATCATTTTTTAAGTGGTGAAGAAAGCAAGGCCTGAAATGGAAAATTTTGAAAATGAGCCAGTTTCATGAGGTCTGAGCCTTTAGAGATAAAATCAAAAAAAGAAAAGAAATGCTTTGTAAGAGGCAGGGGAAGAGAAAACATTTTGTACCAACAGCAGAGTGAAGAGGAATATTGGGGGCACGTTGCTCCCTTCTCAGAAAAGAGAATGCTCGTCCCAGCAAAAGTGATATACTGAACACCTACCGTGAACCAGACAGGCACATTAATTCAAAACCAAATGAAGGGGCACCTGGGTGGCTCAGTGGGTTAAAGCCTCTGCTTTCAGCTCAGGTCATGGTCCCAGAGTCCTGGGATTGAGCCCCGCATTGGGCTCTCTGCTCAGCAAGGAGCCTGCTTCCCCCCCTCTCTCTGCCTGCCTCTCTGCCTACTTGTGATCTCTGTCAAATAAATAAATAAAATCTTAAAAAAAAAAAAAAAAAAGAAAGAAAAGAAATGCCTGGCACAGATTAAGGACAAGAAAGTGTTCACTTCTCCCCATATTCAGTCTCCACAAAGCAGTTAGTATTGTTCTCATTTTATAGATAAGGAAACTGTTAAGAGAGGATGAGTGACAAGGAACAGTAAGGCTCTTTTCTTTCTGAAGTTGCAAGCAAGGCAACTCCAAGCCTTTCAAGATCCTTTGTAAAAAGGCAGCTTTTCTGTAACCAACTCAGAAACTGGAAAATAAGGCAGTTTGGGAAATTAGTGACCAGCCATAGGAACTCTCGTTTAAACAGTATACATAATGATAACAGTGATAACATTACCTCGTAAGGCTTTGACAATGCTATTTTATGTACATTATCGTATTAGAGCTTCCTGTCACCCTCTTGAATAGGGTGTTATCTTTTGATAGTTGAGAAAACAAAGGCTCATTGAGTTAGATTCAAAAGCCAGGGGGAGTTGTGCCCGACTCTAGAGCAATCACCCTTACCCCTGTAGGCTACACTACTTCCCCACCTAGAACAGCCGAGATGAGACAGAGGCTGGACTCCAAGTCCCTGGTGCTTTCCAAGAGGGATTCAAGGTTAAAATACAACTTGATACTTTAAATCAAGAAACTCCCCACAGCAGGTTTGGCACAGTCTGAATTCAAGGTCATACTTTCCAATCTTGCCCTGGTTTTGACATCTGTTGGCTTTATTTCAACATGTCAGTCACTGTGGCGAGGATTTTTCTTATTATATTTACATTTCTCTGGCCCATTTTCTTTGGCACCCTTCTGTAAGATGACTTTGACGAGTCTGCGGGCTTCCTTATGCTGGGTTCACTGCCTTATGAGAAAGGAATTCTTCACATGAGTAGCCTTTGTATCTCTAGCTTCAAGAAGAGGGGCCTTGGATGCCTCCAGGGAGATTTTTTTTTTTTTTTTTTTTTAAGTAATCTCTACACTCAACGTGGGGCTCTAATGCATGACCCTCAAACACATGAGATTTAGAGTCACATGCTCTACCAACTGAGCCAGCCAGGAACCCTCCAGGAAGAATCTTGGGGAGACAGGCAGAGTCGAGCTCATTAAGACTCCGGGCAAGTCACTCCCTTCCCCTGCCTCAGTGTCCCAAGGAAGGCGAGGTAGGCTAGGGGAGATAAAAATTTCCCAACTTGAAGCATGCAAACCTCAAGAGGCAAGAGGACTCTAGGTGTTATGTAGGGAAACTATCTTCTTATAATCATGTGTCTATTTTCATGGACATTAGAAAAACAATAGATCACATGAAATCCACAATTCCATCCATGTTATTGTGTAGACGAAGGCAGGTTTATTTAACAAAACAATGAGAATCTATCTGACGAAAAGCATTAAATAAAGGAGCACAACAGGTGGGCAATGTACACGTCACTGAAGCTTGGCAAATACCTGGCTAGGGGATCATTAAAGGCCCTTCTATGTCTTAAATTCTACAGCTAGTAGACTTCAACATTAGGATGGTATTTGCACTATAATGAGAGGTGCTATAAGTATATAATCAATATCAATATTCTATCATAATGGGAAAATCCAAGTATTTGAAGTTTGTGATTTTGTCTTCCTGCTTATGTTTTTGTTTGTTTGCTTAGGGTTTTTTTGTTTGTTTGTTTAAATCAGGGCAAACATGTCTGTTTCGCCCTAGCCATTACTTTCCTAAATTAAGAACAACAGCTGCCATCACTGATAATTCACTACATGCTACGAACTGTGCTAAGGGCTTTTCATCCATGTTCTCGTTTTAAACTCTCACAACCCTTTGGGTTAGGTACTATCTGCTCCATTTTTGAACAAGGAAATAAGACCCACCAATAAAGCGATTACCCAAGGCCCTACCACTCATCAATGGCAGAGCCAGAGTTGGCACTGAGAGTCTGTCCTTGTCCAAAATACCTATTCTCTTAGCCATGATGCAATTCTCTCTGACAAGTTGGAGATCACCTACATAGCTTGTCTCTCTGCCCTAGGCTCTTTTAGCAGTCAGGTAAAATCTCCCCTTCTTGGTACAAAGCATAAAATAATGACCCTATTCTCTTGCTCCTAGCTACAGGAATTGTGGTCCACAGGTCAGCAACATCAGCATCACCTAGGAACTTGCTAGAAATGCAGAATCTCAAGGCCGACCCCAAACCTGTAGAATCGGAACCTTCATTTTTAACAAAATCACCAGGTAATTTGTATGCATGTTAAAAGTGAAGAAACCTGATCTAGAAGAGACAAGGGCTACTGCTGGAGAAAGCAGGTGGAAAGGGGGAAGAGAGCTTTACAGGCTGAAAGACCACATGGGCAAAGTCTTAGAGATGAGAAAGGGTCAGGTATGTTTGAAGTCAGGGCATGGGATGGGGACTGAGTGATTAGAGATAGCCAGGATGGGGGGTCAGAGGGTGAGGAGCTTTGAATGCCAGGCTTAGGAGCTAAGACTTTAGCCTGAAGGAAACCGGAAACCACTCAAGGGTTTAAGCAAAAAGAGGCAGGATTGGATGTGCTTAGGGCCCTCTGAGAAAATCTCTTCTACTTATTAAAGATAGACTAGATTTTCATAGGCAGCGAGAGGGTTCTCCAGGCCCTGAATGTGGCATAATTAAGGTCTATTCTGGACAATGAGTGGCCATGGGACTGTGTTATAGAAGTCACAAGAAGTCACAGAATGTCAGCCTTGGAAAGAGCTTTCGAGATCACCATTTTTGGAAACTGAGTCTCAGGGAGACCACACAGCAAGTTAATGAGCTATGCTGTGGGCACAGTACTAAATACTAGTCGGATGTCTGTGTGCCATCCTCAATTCCAGCCTCCTTCCCCAAATCCAGTAACCCAGATGATACTTCTCAGGCTGGTATTCGAGGACCTTAACTTTCATTACCCCTCTTTACAGAGGAGAAAGCTAAGGCCAAGCTGGTAAATGACAGAATTAGGATTTGAACCAATGCCTTTCATCGCTACATGATACCCTTTGGAGTCCAGCCCTCCATACCTTTGATGACTAGACATGCCTACTCCCCACCTCCAGCCAGCCCAGTCGGGGTTCCCAAATATCCCCTTCTCTCCATCTTTTCTCCACTGCTATCACAACCTTAGAGCAGGCTGTCAGCGTTCCCTGGCCTGGTCTTCCCCATAGCAGCCAGTGATTCTTCTAAATAGAAAATCCAGTCATGTCCCTCCCCCAATTTGATGCTCTAAATTCCTATGCTGGCTTCCAATGCCATTTTACTCACTGTTTCCCCCCGACTTCTCTGGCCTCATCTCCGCTGAACCTCTGCGTTTGCTATTCCTCCTGCTGGAATACCCTTTCTCCTTCTGCATTTGCCAGATCACCACGGTGTCTTCAAACACCAAGTCAAAAGTCACCTCCATGAAGCCTCCCCCATTGTCTGCCCCCAGTCCTCTGTCTAGGCCTTCAGTCTGGCTTCTCTGTTCACTCCCAGCCCTGGGGTTCAGCCGAGAAGGTTCTTTGATAAAAACAAGTTGAAAAATCTCCAGAAGGATGACCTCGTGCAAGGTCCTGAACCGCAAGGAGAAGAAGGACTATCAGCAGCAAATTTTTACATAGTGTTTATTATGCACCAGACACGGTTCTAACTCTTCTCAAGTACTAACTCATTTAGTCCTCACAACCTCAAGGAGTAGATGCTGTTATGATTTCCCTTTTACAAAGAGGAAACTGAGCCACAAAGAAGGGAAGAAACTTATCCAAGGCCATACAGCTGGGAGGTGATGGAGTTGGAAGTCTACCTAAGCTCTGGAGTCTGGGTTCTTTTTTTTTTTTTTTTTTTAACATTTTATTTTTTTAAGTAATCTTCACACCCACCATGGGACTCAAACCCACAACCCCAAGATTAAAAGTCACGTGTTCTACCGACTGAGCCGGCCACGTGCCCCTGGAAGTCTGGGTTCTTAACTTATAGGCCAAAGGTGAGATCAGGGGATCCATAGACCAGAAGAGGCAGGATGTGCTAGGATGACAGGCCAAGGAGGCCTCAGGAAAACGGAATTCCACAGTTATTTTGACTGCAACTGGTTGCCAAAGCAGCCAGCCCCCTTCCCCCAGGGCCCACCATACCCACTAGGGGGCAGCAGAACCGTCTTTCCTAGAGAACTGGCCCCTTGCAGGAAGAAATGGGAGGGAGCCTGGGCCCAGATACCCCGACCAACAGGAGTCCTCCAGATGGACACAGGGCTCCTCTGGCAGGGGGGTAAGTCTTATAAGGTTCTGGGAGGTGAAAACATGCCTGGTAGCATTTAGGATCTCCCAAAGGGAAATCTAACTCATATTCAGATCTCCTTAAAACTCCTTTCTTCAAACCTTCAAAACCCTCAGGATAAAACCCAGAGGAAAGGTCCCACCCAGCCTGCCAACCACCTTACTCTCATCCATGCTCCGCATGACTGAACCACCCGCCTTCACTTCTCCCAGTGCCCCACCCACTTCCCTGAGCGATGACTAGGGCCATTCCTTCTAAATCTCAGATCCCCACTGGTCTCAGCTAAGCCACCCCTTTACTGACTTTGAGACCTTGGGCCAGTCACCAAACGGTCCAGTTTCCAGGGCCTCAGTTTCCTCACCTGTAAAAGGGAACAAATACTACCTACGTTCCAGATTTGCAGTACTTAGAACAGTGTCTGGTGCATAGCAAATGCTACTGAGGGCCACTTGGTACTGTTGTTGTTGCCTACCTAACCACCACTCCCCCCACCCCCAAGCGTGCAGTTCCCAGCTCTGGGCTTCCATGCCTCCTGTGCCTGCACCCATCACACGGGATTGTAGCTGCGTGGTTATTCATCAGTCCCATCCCGCTGGACATCAAGCTCCACGGGGAACCAAGGACAGCTAGCACAGTACCTGTGACATCTCTATGACGGCATTATGGACAGTAAGGGAGAAGGATGAGCCACCAACCCTGAGATTCTTCGTCTTAGACTCAGAGGAAAGTAGGGGCTGGATCGCTGGTTTCTCTAAGGAAGGCTGGGCCTGACCAGATTTAAGGGGGACCAAGCCCCCAGGGGTGGGACACGTACCTCCTTGTTGTCCATGGGGATCTTGAGTTTCACCACCTCATACTTCTCCTCACCCTCATCTTCCTCACCCTTCACCAGCAGCACCATCTCCTCTTGCATTTCTTCCTCTTCCTCTTCCTCCGTCTGCTGTTCACCAGGCATCTTGGCGTCCTAGGGGAAGCGCTGGGTCAAAAGCTCAGGACTTGCACCCCCCACCACCACCACCCTGCCCCCCGCCCCATGGCCCTGACCCCAGCAAGGCGGTGGAGCCTTGGCTTTGCCCGCCCTGCACTGCCCTCTTCCCTCCACCCCAGGACCAGCTCCGAAGACACTCGTTCTCCCCACTCATCCCGGCATTCAAGGCCCTGAATAGTTCGAATCTCCAGCCCCAGCAAGTCGCCACCCTCCCCGCGCTGAGTCACTCCCCGGCGCCCCGGCCAGCGGTCCAGAGCTCCAGGGCACGGGCTGGGGGCGGGATCGGGGCGGAGACCCTGGGGGGGGGTGCGCACTCACCAGCCGCAGATTCCGCGCTCGCACAGCCCCTGGCCAGGGCGCCGGGCGGTTGGGCACTCTGCGAGGCCGCGGCTCCGGGGGCGGGGCGGGGCGGGGCCTCGCGAACGGCCGCTCATTGGTCAGATCTCCTAACCCCGCCCCCGAGGGGGAGGGGCCCAAAGGACCCAGGCGTCCGGCCAGAACTGCCCCAAGAGGGTGGCGAGCCCGGATCTGGCGCCCCTCGCTGTACCCCAACTGCCAGGAACCCCCGGGCCGCCCCATCCCGGCGTCCAAGGTCCTCGCAGATCAGATGTAACCTACCTTCAAGGCTCGTCTCCTGTGGCCGCGTCGGAGGTCTCCGCTGCGGCCAGGCGCTTCTGCTCCGCCCAAAATAGGCCACGTGCGCTCCCGCCCCGGCCTGGGCCTCTCGCTGGCGCCCCGCCTGGAGGGCGGACCCTGTTGCCTGCTCACCTCTTCCCTTCCCTCTTTTTTCCTCTCCCATTTTTTCTCCTTTCCCGGCGTCGCCTTCACAGTCTCCTTGCCTATGGGATGTTTTGCCCCTTTTGAATATGTACTTCCCAAATCAACAGCCACCCAAGCTACCGCTGCTACTTACTGGGTGGTGTGCCTACTACTCGCCAGCATTATGCTAAACGTTTTACACACCTGATCTTTGATCCTCGTAAGGGTGGGTCCATTTTACAGGTGAGCTAAATGAACTCGAGGGAGATAAAATGGATTTGCTTAAGTTACACAGTAAGGGTTGTCATAACATTCCTGACAACTGATAGGCTAAGTGGAAAATTAGTAGCCCAAATACAGTAGCTCAGATCCAGTCCACAGAAGTATCTTGTTTGGCCTTCAGGTTATTTTTACTTTTAAAAATTCGTTTTAGGGGCGCCTAGGTGGCTCAGTGGGTTAAGCCTCTGCCTTTGGCTCAGGTCATGATCCCAAGGTTCTGGGATTGAGCCCTGCATCCGGCTATCTGCTCAGCAGGGAGCCTGCTTCTCCCTCTCTCTCTGCCTGCCTCTCTGCCTACTTGTGATCTCTCTCTATGTCGGATAAATAAATAAAATCTTTTTAAAAAAGAGATCAGGAGGGATGCCTGGGTGGCTCAGTTGGTTAAGTGGCTGCCTTCGGCTCAGGTCATGATCCCTGCGTCTTGGGATCTAGTCCCACATCGGACTCCTTGCTAAGCAGGGAGTCTACTTCTCCCTCTGCCTCTGCCTGCCACTCTGTCTGCCTGTGCACACACTCCCTGACCAAAAAAAAAAAAAAAAAAAAAAAAAAAAAAAATCAATCAATCAGGAGTTTTATAAATATTTTAAAAGTTTCGTTTTTTAAAAATAGTGGTCTTTTACACATTTTAATTTCCCACACTTAAAAATTGGGATATTTTGTATAAAGATCTGTATTTTCCAGTTCTCTTGAAAAAGGTACCCAATTCTCCCATTTTATGAATGGGGCACCTAAGATTCAGAAAGGAAAGAGGAATAACATTCAGTAAGTGCTTGCGATCCTTATGTCTACTTATAACAGCCCTGTGGAGATCAATAACATTGTCTCCCAGGGCCCCTGGGTGGCTCAGGTGGTTATGCCTCTACCTTCTGCTCGGGTCGTGATCCCAGGGTTCTGAGATCAAGTCCTGTATCTGGCTCCCTGCTCAGTGGGGAGCCTGCTTCTCCCTTTCCCTCTGCTGTTCCCCCTATTGTGCTCTCTCTGTCTCTGTCAAGTAAATAAATGGAATCTTTTTTTTTTAAGATTTTATTTATTTGACAGACAGAGATCACAAGCAGGCAGAGAGGCAGGCAGAGAGAAAGGAAGGCTCCCCGCTGAGCAGAGAGCCCGATGCAGGGCTCAATCCCAGGACTCTGGGATCATGACCTGAGCCAAAGGCAGAGGCCTTAACCCACTGAGCCACCCAGGTGCCCCTAAATGGAATCTTTAAAAAATAATAATAATATTGTCTCCCTCTGACAAATGAAACAAAGCTTAGAGAACTTAAGTAATTTGCTTGAAGTCACAAAGCTGGTAAGTAGCAGATTCCAAAGCTCATGATCTTTCTGTTGCACCAAATTATCTTTCAGACATGAAATTACATGAAGAAATTGGTGGCAGAGCCAGTTCTCAAACTGAGTCTCAGTCTTCAGAGGCCAGGGCATAATTTAGATGTTGGGATTACATCTGGTCAAACTTTTGCTCTTCCTCAGAGCAAGGAAAAAGGGACAGATGCCTCAATACTCACACTCAAGATCTCCACTCTGGTTGTGTGGGCCCTGCTATGTGCCTGGTACCATCCTAGGTATTGGAGATGCCTAGATGGAGTAGTGAACAAAACAGACAAAAAGCTTGGCTGCTACAGCACTTTTAAGAGTGTAAAAATGTAAACAAGTAAGTCAACAAGATAATTGCAGATAATGTAATTAATAGGGCAAGTTGAGACGATAGAGTGGGTATGGTTGGGGGCTTTCTTATTTATTTATTTAGGAGAAGGAGAGAGAGAGAGAGTCAGGGGAAGGAGGGACAGAGGGAAAAGGAGAGAAGCTGAGGCAGACCCTTTGCTGAGCATGGAGCCCGATGCTGGGCTCAATCTCAAGACCGTGAGATCATGATCTGAACTGAAATCAGGAGTCAGATGCTTAACCAACTGAGCCACCCAGGCGTCCCCTTGCGGGCTTCTTTCATGTGCGAAGGGAAGGCATCTCAGGAAATAATACTTGAGATGAATCTGGAATGATGAGAAAGGATTAGGCATTTGAAAATCTGGAGGAAAAGTGCTCTAGACAAAACTGCAAAGGCCATGGGGCGCCTGCGTGGCTCAGTGGGTTAAGCCTCAGCCTTCCGCTCAGGTCATGGTCTCAGACTCCTGGGATCGAGCCCCACACTGGGCTCTCTGCTCAGTGGGGAGCCTGCTTCCTTCTCTCTTTCTGTCTGCCTCTCTGCCTACTTGTGATCTCTCTCTCTCTGCCAAATAAATAAATAAAGCCTTTAAAAATTAAAAAAAAAAAAAAACCTGCAAAGGCCTAAGGTAAGAATAAGCTTGGCATATTTGAGGAACAGAAAGAAGGTTTGTGCGGCTGGAGTCAAGTGAGTTAGCAAGGGGAAATGTTAACATGAGAGATGGAGGAGATGTGGGAAGGGGCCAGGTTATGCCTGGAACCCCAGTTCTAGCAAAAGTCTTGCCCTGATTCAATCAGTGAGAAGACTCAGCCGGGAACAGTGAAAAGTCACCCCTGGAAGGGTGTCCTGCCAGAGGAGGGCTTTGGAATAGATGCTTGGAAAAGAAGAAAAGGACTTCTGTCCACTTGTTCTACAAACATGTACAAGTATATACCTGAACTCAGATTCAGTTTCTGTTCTTGAGAATCTCATAGTCTAGCAAAAAAGATTGTAATTAAAATATATATTTTATATGAATAAATATAAATATATATGTATGAAAGGAAAAGCCGTAGGTCTATAAATGTTCTGGCAGATATTAAGATGAATGAATAACAATAACCCCTTGGGAAGGGAGTGGTTATCGGGAGCGGGCTTCTCTGAGGAGATAAATGTGAAGGACCTTCAAAGATGACATATTGACAAGGAGGTAGCAGCTTGTGGGACTGTAAACTCTTGTGAAGACCATATCATGTTCCAAGGACACTGTGCACCAAAGTATTTAGTGAGGCCTATTGTGTTCCAGGATCCTGCTGGGACATTTCACTGTTTGAGTTCAGATCCGTTAGAACTTTGCTTCAGTTCTTGAATGCCCAAGGACTTGGGAGCAACCTCTTCTGTCTGCCTAGAAGACTCCAGCTCCTATACCATCCCTCACTCCTCCTTTCTTAGCTTACTCCAAGTCAATCCGTAGGGCTAAACATAGCTGCCACTTCTTTGGAGAGGCCCTGGAATCAGTTAGGACTCTCTTCCGTAGCTGTTCTTCCTGCATAGCCCTTTCTACACTTGTAATTATTTGGCCAACGTCTGTCTTCTGCATAGAAACTGAGGCCAGAGACTGTTACTCATCCTCGGAACCCCCACACCCAGCACACAGTTGGTAATCATCCTCAAGAAGTTCTCCATGTTTCAAGTGCTCAGAAGAAGTAGATTCTAACTCAGGCTGGAGGTTCAGGGAAGGCTTCGGGGAGAAAGCAATGCTTGAAGTGGTCTGACTTGGAGAGCTGAACAGGTCGGGGGTGGGGTGGCGGAGGGAATGAGCATTCCAAGTAACAGAAGCAATATTTAGGAAGCACAGGGCTGAAACCACACAAATGGAAGACCTTGAATGCCAATCTGAATGCCAAGGAGTTACATTTTCCAGAGGAGACATATGGAGCTACGGCAGGGTTTTTTTGTTTTGTTTTGTTGCTTTTTTTTAAAGATTTATTTATTTATTTATTTGTCAAAGAGAGAGAGGGAGAGAGAGCAAGCACAGGCAGACAGAATGGCAGGCAGAGGCAGAGGGAGAAGCAGGCTCCCTGATGAGCAAGGAGCCCGATGTGGGACTCGATCCCAGGATGCTGGGATCATGACCTGAGCCGAAGGCAGCTGCTTAACCAACTGAGCCACCCAGGCGTCCCCGGCAGGATTTTTAATAGGGAGCGACACAAACAGATGTAATTTTACAAAGATCACTGCAGGAGACTGGTAGGGTGGGGAAACACGGAAACCAGCAAGAGCGATCTTCCAGACGCCCCCCAAAGGCCTCCGTTCAGGCCTATGGGTGCGTGTGCCCCTAAGGACCGAAGCCGCCAAGGACCCCAGGCCTGAACGCAGCATTTCGAGTGTGTAGAACAACTTGGCAGGGGTGGGAAGCTCGAGAGGAAGGGCGCAGTAGGGGGCTTCCATTGGTTTCTAGGGAAGCCGGGCCCGTTGTTAAGATCTCGCGAGAGCCTCTGTCCAGGGACCAATACCCCACGGAGACCAGCCCAGACGCCCAGCCCGCGAAGTTGCAGAGCGGTCCTGCACTTCATTTCTTAGATGGGTGAACTATCCTCGTCTTTTTTTTGTCACTGGCCAATCACGTCGGTTCCTCTTTGCTTTCTTTCCTACTGGCGCCCTCCTCGGAAAAAGCTAGGAATTGGGAGTCTTGCTCT